AAGGAATCTTGTACTGGAGATAGGGGACGCATAACCAGCAATCCAGGATCAAACCTCTGCCCCTCTCCTAATCACAATCCCCGCTGATGTGGCTGCTTACAGCTTCAGCTGTGTACCACATTAATAGCTGAAACCAACCCAGACTTTCCTGACCAACCTCTCCTAAATTTTACCGGATACTGCAAGTGCAATTAGCTTGACCAGACCAGAATTACAGTTACCCTTCCCTGTTTTAGCTGGTGGTGGAGCTTTGCACTGACCTGTGTTAAAAGCTGAGATTGGGCTTCTGCACACTGCAGGAACCTGCAAGTAACCCTTGGCTGAAAGCCCTACCAGGGGTTTCAAAGTGTCCTGTACTTTTCCAAGCAGTGGCAGGGAGCAGCTCACAGTCCTGCCAATCCCAATCACAGCACCAGGTGCTGTTGTGGAAATAACCCAAATGGCAATTTAGGCAAGGTCAGAGCAGAAGTGGTCTATTGCTGTAGCTCTAGGGTAGGACAGGGAGCAGCAGCGTGACAGCCTCTGCTGACATGAGCTCTGCCCAGCTTGGGCAGCTACAGCTTCTGTAACTTTTACAACCCATTTTGCACCAAAACTGTGTCAGATAAGCAGTACCTGGTACATAATGACAGCAAATGAAATCAGACAAGGAGGCTCTAGACTGTATATCCTTCTACAAGTAGTTCATGCCTTTGTCAATTAAATTGCTCTGACTGCAAGGCCATTAGTGGTAAATGATTCTTAATTACTGAGGCCTGCAAAAGGTCTGTGAGACATAAACTATTTTCACACACCAAACATAAGTAATTGCAGTGCTTTTGATCGTTTGCCTATGTAAATTTCATAATGCCCTTATGAACAAAAACACTGACTTTTGTTGTCTCAGAGCATCTCCAAATTAAGTGAAACACAGGCAGTGGTTAAATGCAGAAAATAAGAGCTGCTTGGTTAGATTTTCAGCAGTCATTTGTTCATGACATGTGGATAAACATACACATATTTTGTAAAAGTCAGGTAACTGGTGATTTTTAATATGGAATCTGCTGATACTCCCAAATCTCAGCATGAGAGGGCTGAAAATGGACCATTTGTAGAACAGTTTTCTTACACAGTTGTTTCAGCTGGGGATCTTGTCCTGTATTTGCACAGATAATGTGTGATTCAGTTTGCCTCAGTGGGTGTACTGACTGTACATCAGTGTGATTTAGTTGTGTATCAAGCAAGCAAGGATTTGAAGGCATCTGCAGAGGATCAGATTGTAGCAGAAAGTTATTTTAAAAAAAAACTCATATTAATGCTGCTAACTGCTATTCCAAAGTGGGAAAAAAACCATATATAATACACCTATATTAAACATAGTTATTAAAAATAGGCATGATAGCATATGTAAGATCTGGACAATTTTGTTATATGCATATTTCTATGAATCTACAATAAAAGGAAGTTGATATTCAGTTCTCTATCACACTTTACAGTAAAGGTAAGTTTTTAAAAATCAAGTATTTGATTTTATTTTCTTAATCTTTCTTTCTGTGTGAAGTCTTAAAATGGTTTATATTGAGAAGCAGCTAAGGAACTGGTACACTGGAGAACTTCAGTGGAAGGGATTGCTTACAGATGTATAGCTGCAAGTAATTTTCTCTCCTTTTATGAGAGAAATTTCATCCTCTAAAGATGGAAAAGCTAGTAGGTCATGACAGTGAGACTTAGGTATTGAGCTCAACAAATGGCCAAAACCAAGAGTATAGCTGTTACCTGAGGGTGTGGCTGTTCTCGCTTTCAAATGTGATATCTATCACTTCTGTCAGCATGTTAAATATTGGGATTTATGAAATTCTTTTGTTCATAAATAGCATCTTAATTCTCAGTCCCGAGATAGGTGTGTCACAAATGCTTTCTGTTTTGTGTTGCATATTAGGATGAATCAAGGCTTGTCTTGGCTTGACTATTAACTAATAAAGTACAAGTTTGAAAAACATGTTTTTAATGAAGCTAAACGTTGCCCAATGTCTTATTCTTTTTTCTTTTTTTACCTTTCTGTAACTTGTGAAGTTTCAAGCATGTGGTTTTGGTTCTAGGTGATGTCTGCTACTGTGTTTAACACTTGACTTGGTAACCTTTGTATTTAATGTGAAGGTATGATGCTCAAAAGAAATCAAAATGACCCTATTGCCCCTCAGGCATCTCTAATAAATATAGCAGTATAAAAACTTGCTTTGATATTTGCTGTAACCTTAGTTCTCACATTAATACCTGTCTCTGTTTATACATCTGGTGTGTTTTTTCTGTTCTTCCCCTAGCGATGGACTTACAGAGAAGACATGGAACTGAAATCAGGAGTAAAGGAGTTCGGAGTGGGTAACTGGGCTAAAATTTTGGTCCATGGCAATTTCAACAACCGAACTAACATTATGTTAAAAGACCGGTGGAGAATACTGAGCAAGAAAGACTAATTTTGGACTACAGGAATCGACTCTTCTTGACCTTTCTGTACATAAGGACCTAGACTACCTTTTCACAAGAGTAACTTATTTTAGTCTCGGAGTGTTCAGCAGTGTTGCTCTCCTAAAACATGAAACAGCATCGTAATAGGTATAAAATGTTTATGTAAGCTCACTTGCTTGGGTAGTGATGACTTAAATGTACAGCCTGGCCTTTTATCTACTTGCAGTAGATGGCCTAATTTCTGAGTTGTGAAAATGCTTACAGTGATTTAAGTAAAAGCTAATTATGTACATAGGAGTACTAAATGATTGACAACATTTTTAGCTTGATAGAGGCTAGTACAGAGTCAAGTGTTCTGCATTTTTAAAGGGTTGTATCTCTAGTCAGGTTGAGTTTTTCATCATATTACTTCCTGCCATATAACCTATTCTTATCCAATTTGTTTCACTTTAAAATTTTGGTCAGACTTGTCATGTCTGTCAGTGTTATACCAAAAAAAAAGTGTGTTGGTATTACTAACTTTACAATGGCTTTCTTGCTGTTGAAACGGTGATACTCCTCACAACTTTATAAATAGTAAAGGTGATGTTTTTTTGTAAAGAATTAAGCTTAAGTTCTAGTGGAAGGATATTTTGAACTCATATATTGATGTAATACCACTTTTTATCTCACAGGAGATGTGAAAAACACACAGAAAGTAGCACTATGATACTAGCTCTTAACATCTCTTCATTACCTTGTGCCACGTACCTTGTCTTGAAGTAGCTTCTAGACCAGCAGGAAAGGGAAAGCTCAAATAGGAATGGCTGAAGTGGGGCTCAGTCCCAAGTCTGTACTGGCACTGATGGCGCAGCTTGTCAGGTGTTTATGGTCTCCACTGGCTCTGCAGTGATAGCAAGCAAAGATATGCTCTGATGGGGGTAACTAACTATCGAGATGTCAGTTGATCACTGTAAATGTCCTGCTTGTAAGAGCCTGTGGTGATGGTTGACCATCATTTGTGGTTGACCATCACAAATGGGTGATGGTACTACGCTGCCTCTCTCAATCCCGATTGTGGGGGGAAGAGTTCCACGACCTCAGAAAGTCCACAGTTCCCGCTGTCACACTGGTGTGAATTTAGTGACTTGAACTAACATATCATACCATTCTTGTAACAGTGAAATCTCTTTAATCCAGGTGGTTTTGAACTCTTGTCCTTGGATAAGGTTTTTATTTTACCAGAGCCTTACAAGGAAAAACATCTCTCCAAACTGGTCATAAGAAAATAAATCTGAGATGTTGTTTTCTGGCTACAAAGGAAGAGAGATATTCTTGAAGCCTGAATTGTTCGGGAAGTATCGTGACAATCTCACTGCTTTTGGTTTTGGAGGCCTGCCTGCATTAAGATAAAACAGCAACAAAGGTTTGTTTCAGACTCTAATTGTGGACAGGACCTCAGCCAGAGCAGCTTCCTTATTCTTGCCACCAGACACTGCAGTTCTTCCTTGCAGCTGCCAGGAACAGCAGCAAGCGGTAGCCTTTAGGTTCCACAGAGATGCTGCTTGTCTTAACAGTCAACTTTCTCAGCCTTAAGGCATCATTTCTTTTTGGCAAACATTATGAATTTCGGGATCTTGACAAAATACAGGCTTTGTCTTTCAGCAAGGAATGCTACACCAGCTGTAAGCCAGTAATTAAAAAAAAAAGGCATTACAGGTACCTGACAAGGGCAAATGCAGCCTCTTTAATGCTGTAACAGTAATTCAAAGTAAGTAGTAGGAACAAAAAAGGATTTGAGCAATCTGCAGTCTTGCCAGTTCTCTAATATTGCTGGTTTCTATGTTAATCATTGTACGTGAGCAGCTGTAACAACAAAAGAAACCCTTATTACTAGTTAATGTTAGCCAAGGCTTTAGTCACAAGGTCATGTTTAGCTTCATCTGCCATGAAATTCACACTGTATCAGTGACACTAAGGTCTGAGCAAGACTACTCCTTTACAGCACTGACAAGCCTTGCGATTTTAGGAAGGTGAACTGCAATGCAGGGGAAGAATACCTACCCACTTGTAGTATAAACAATGAAATCCAGGTTTAGCACTCAAACTTTCATTTTTATTCACCCTTGCTGTTTAACAATGACAGTAAGTATTTGCAGACTTGAGAATGTTTGGCTGGCTCACGACTGAGTAGGACTGTGTCCCTGCCCATGGCAGGGGGGTTGGAACTAGATGATCTTAAAGGTCCCTTCCAACCCAAACCATTCTAGGAGCAGCGCTTGTAAACAGGACTGTGGCCAGTGAAGAACAAGAATTTTAGGCAAAGCAGCTACTATGGTTAAAAATATTAGCTCTTTAATTACAAAAGACAAACACGGAAACATCCTTCTAGTGTTTAAATACCAAGATCAGTCTTAGCCTTTTGTATTAAGGCAGAGAGACTTTCCTGAACTGCTGCTTCAAAAATTCCGACTCCTTCAAAGTTTGCTTAGGCTCCACAAAATGCAGCAGAAAGATGTAGGTTTCTCGGCACTGGTGTTAATTTTCTTAATCTTTTTGCTGTTTTAAAGGTGCTTTTAGGTAAAGATAAAGCTATGCACGAGGGGACATGAGCAGTGCTCCAGTTGCCGAATCTTCTTCCAAGTTCCTTGGCACTGAGGGTTGCCAACTGCTTCCCAGTGTAAGATTTTACCTCTGAAATGTGACAATAAATGAGGAATTAACAAAAAATACACGGTTTCAGTGTCTTATTAGGTCATGTCAGAATACTAGATTTGCTTAATGTAAGACTTTAGCTCATCTAGCTCTTAAAACACTTTCTGGAGCCGGCACGATGTTTGGTGTATAGTATACAGGATGGTGGCTTGAGGAGCTGGGTGTACAGGTGTTTAGTACACATAGTGATGTAGGTATGGATCAAATGAAAGTCTGTCCTCAATATTAAATATCTACTTTCAAAATTACTATTCTAGAAAGCAGGTGCATAGGTTTGAGAAACCTGAAATCTGATTTGGATTATGGCAGGATATACCATTTTGGAGCGAAAGTGCCCATAACTGTGATAAGACCTCTTGTACTACGGAAGCTGCATCACCTCTTCACCATAGTAAATGAAGTGTTCAAAGCACTTAACTCTTCTATTGAAATAATTTCCTAATTTTAGGTTTGAAAAGCAATGTCTGTGAGAACTGAAAGGGTAACTCTTCTGAGCTCTACAAGTGATGCGAGCTCTTTAATTTTTAAGGTACAATAAATGCGGCTTTTAATGAGACCTTGAGAAGTCTTAACTTCTGCACTGGGCTTTGCTACAGAGGAGAGGGCAAAGGGCTTGCTTTACCTGTCTGCGTTATGGCCATCCCCCGAACAATGACGCGTGTCGGGATCCATCGCTGGGGGCTGGCAGGCTACGCACACCGTGTGTCCCTCCCGCAGGTACTGCATCCATCGGGCGTACGGCCGTGTCTCCAAAGCACACTGCTGCGAAAGCGATTCCGTTTTAAATTCCACGCAGTACCTGCTCAGAAGGAAAAGTACTAAATGGGTTATGATAGCTAAAGCAAGAGCTAGGTCTGCACTTTACATGTACTTACATATCATATGGGTGATATGTGTGAAGTGCAAGTTAGATGTTGTCATTGCTAACGAGTCTGTTTCTGACCCTAACCAGATTAATGGCCGCTTAAAAACATTACACAAACTAATTCTCATTCCATGTCCCAGTCTAGTGCTTTAAGTATAATCTCACTTGTGTTCTGTGTTATTATTGAATAATTATGCTGAAAAACATCCCAGTAGCCCATATTTTTTCTGCTGTGCCGCTAAAAATAGAGAAGAGGCCTTAAGGATACTGATGGGCTTTATTGTTTTGGGGAAAGTAGCCTAAGGCAAAGCATTACAGACCCAGTAATAGCCTAAACTTCACAACCATCTCTACTGGTAACCAAACAAAAGTTTTTACTGCTTGTGTCAATTAATTAAAAAAAAGGTCTCGAGACTGATCATGTTTAGGCCGTTTTGTTTGTTCAGAGACCTGTGTCTAGTTTCTGACTTACCCTTATGGATTTGGCTTAGCCTTATTTACTGCTGACTTTCAAAAGCAGCTATCCTCAGATCTGCCATGACCCCAATGCCTAATTTAGGACAATTAGCAAGTAATAAAAAACATCTAGAACATGCAAATGAGCTGCAGGAGAGAATACCAGTACAAGCTCTCTCTTACTGTTTAATTATTGCAAATTTAGTTACATTTTTTCTCTGTAGCCAACTATTTTCAGTTGAACAAGATGACCTACATGCATATGATAAATAGATTACCCAGGTGCTTCTTTGTCTGAAGGCTGGAGAGAAGATGCTGCTCGTCGTTTTCTTTCTTTACCGTATTCAGAGGTAGTTATAAAAGCAGGGACTGAAGAAGAAAACAGTGAGGGTGAGGCGGCAGGACACAGCTGAGTTGTATTTGAATTACTGTAACAGTGGGTGAATGAATCAGGAGCTTGTGGATGGTGATGCTGACTGACTTTACTGAAAAAATGATAAAATGCTGGCAACGTCAGACCTCAACCCCATTCCCCAGAGCGAAGCGCTCTCCTTATTCCGAAAAAATGCACCCGGAAATACATGCAGTCTGGTCTGTGAGGAAATAGGATGTGCTGGAATCCTACAAGGAGCTCTGTTTCCTGTTTCGTACTGGATTTTTGTTCTGATTTTGCACAAAAGTAATTTGATACTGAGGGTCTTAAGAAACTGAAGGAAAGCAGGCACATTAGTTATTTACTTAGTAGAAATTAAGACAAGCTTGAATAAGAAAAAAAAAATAAAGAGCAATGTGACAGTAGAAAGTAAGGTTTAAAATTTTAACCAGCTAGCTACAGATAGATGCTTTTTTCCCTATTCATTGACATCACTAAATTGTATGAAGGCCCTGATGGGCCCAGCGTTTAGAAAGAGCAACGAGAGAATACCGTGTTCATGGCCGCAGTCCTCTCCCTGGTTAGTCAGGTATTCCAGGCAGCCAGCCTTCTCCTCTAGAGCGGGACAGGGCTCCCCGCCGTTTTTAGGTTCCTGTTGTACGTAGCGCCTACGTATCCGCAGGTCGGGTTGACATTGCTCTGCGCAGCCGCTCCAGTGACTCCACTCCCCCACCACGCACGGAAGAGCTGCAAAACAGTATTTAAACATTGCTGGTTGTCGAGACAACCAATTTATCCTAATTGCCGGCAGCAACTTGAGTAATAAGACTCTGGTTAGTTTTTTCTTACCTAATTTACAGGGCTTTAAATGCTCTTCTGGGAGTTTGCATCTTCAAATTTACCACTCAAACTTGCCTGCAGTGCTTAGCTCCCTATTCCATAATTGTCCAGAAAGAAACAGCTCCTCGTGGAAAACTTCAACTGCGGCTGTGGGGTTCTTCTGTACCCTCCTCTGAAGCAGTTGGCATTAGCCCCACGGGAGATCTAGCGGTCTGACCTACCCTGGCAGTTCCTACACCAGCAGGTTTTGTTCAAAGCCTGGAACCTGAAGCAGCAGAACTCGGGAAACCTTTCAGCCCTCTCGATTCCCCTCAGGTTGATTTCTAAGCCCTTTTCCTTGACACCGAAATACGTTCCAGTATTTCGCACAGGGTGTCCTGCTCTGCGGTCCTCGCTGCAAAGACAGTTTTTGGTGGCAGTTTTGGTTTTATTTGGTCTTAGAACAGTGCAGGGAGGTGTGTGGAGTTGTGTTTCTGTATCTATAGCTGCTGGTACAGAGAGAACAGTTAGAAAGTTTTTTAAACATAGAGGCAGATATTTAAACAAAATGTGTAAAAATGTGATTTTAAGGCCCTCTTTTGCTCATTCCCAACTACAGAATAGTCCACTGGATATTTGAATTTTAATTCTCGTGGACCACAAACTTCCTCTGAACGTGACCAAAACATTAGGGGGAAAGTGGCATTATTTTGAAAGTAAACTTTGAACGATAAGAAACTGCAGTTCCCTCAGCATCAAGAGCACAGGTACCGTACTCTTGTACCTTTGGTCTCTCCTAACCCGGCCAACTAGAGGTGCAAAGAACTCCTCATCTGTTAAATTCACATAGATTAGGTGAGCTCATGGAAGGTCTCAGATGAAGAAAGAAAAAGCTTTGGTTTGTATTCTGCGGTATTTCTCTGGCAACTTTAAACCTTTAGACGAATTATGGCCTTTGACACCTTTTTGATTAAAGAATGTGGAGGCTCTTTAGGAAAAAAAAAACAACTAAATCATCACATCGTGTAGAGGATGAGCTTTATTTCATGTTTGTAACTTCTTGTAACTGTTCCAGGAGAGATGTAGATTGTAGGCTAAGCATCTCTCAGTTTCAGTATTGTCTTGAAACGCAGAAACACCCAGATCTATCATGCCTGTTATGCACTGTTTGCTTCCTTATTTTATTCTCTGCAGTGCATCTAATAATGATGGCACGCTCCCTGTAGTTCTCATCTATATTAAGCACGATAAGTATTTTTCCAATCTTTATGTCTCCTTTCTTGTACATTTTCCATTTATATTCTGGCAAAGCAGTAGCTCTCTCTCAACCTTGCCAGTGTAAGCACGCACAATGTGCTAGCTATCTTCCAGGTGGGTACAAATAATGTACTCAGGAAGAACAGGTTTTGCAGCCTGATTCCCAGAGTACAGAAACAGGTGAAGGACACATTATTCCTGAGGAAGAAGCTACATGACACACAAGCGTTTACTCTATTTGTCCATTAACACGATGCACAACAGTGAGAAACACACCCATTTCATGTTTCCCTGAAGCTGAACTTTCCATAGTCTCACCTCTGGCAACAGCATGACACAGGTTTTTGAAACTGTGTGGCCCAACAATTTCATTTTTAGCAGCCAAAATGAATTCTACAGCTCTTCAAAAGTGTGCTGAGTCCTGAGGGGCTGGATGAGGATGATCTCTGGGGACTTACTGATGGAACAAACCCAACCCCCTCAGTGGGGAACTTCAACTCTACACAACCCCAGCAGGCAGAGCAGTGAAAACAGGTAAGAGAAACAGCTCGCACGTGGGCATCCATCAAGCGGAAAAATCCCCAGGATAAGCAGTCAAAAGTGTGCCTCAACCTGTGGCCTACGAGGACATTTCATTTGGTGAGTGGACCATTTTCAGTAGCCTCTTCTTCTGGAGGCCACCTAGTAGGTGCTCCAGGTTGGGCAGCAACATTCCTCTGAGCCTCTTCCTCTCTCTCATCAGTGTGTGTGTCCAGAGAGAATGTCCTCTGCCTGGACACCAGCGACAGTACCAGCTTTCCCGTGTGTGCACGGTGTGCTGCTGGGCGAGCAGGGAAGGGCCACGTCTCCAGCTTTCCTTAACCCTGAAGTGAGATGAGCCGTCAAAACACTGCAGCACTGTGTACGAGCCCATGCTGCTCTCCTGAATATCGTCAGCTGCTTTTTGTCCTCTGATGGGCTTGCTTTTTCAATAACGTTAGAATTCCTAGAATCACAGAATCACAGAATGGTTTGGGTTTGAAGGGACCTTAAAGATCATCTAGTTCCAACCCCCCTGCCATGGGCAGGGACAGCAATTAACATCATGGAATTGAAATAGACATTGGCTTATAAAAACCGAAAGGTGTCTATGTTAATGAGTCTCTTATTGATATGGAAATTCCCAAATTCTTGTTTTCATTGCACATCACAAACAGGCTTAAACTCATTTTCCATGTAGTGTGAATCATATTTTACTTTGCCTTTCCACTCCTTTATAAAGGCCGGTCTTCAACATGATACGTAGAGAATGGTACAAAATATATGCTGTGATCAATGATTGAGGTATCTTAAATCGGTTCTGAATTGGTTTGGGTCACGCCTCTCATTATCCAATAAAATGAAGCTTTTTCCTTGCCCATACCTGCTGTTTCCCATTAGTTTGTATTGGAACATACGACATGTTTTCAACCTTCTTTTTGCCTGTATTTCCTCATTACAATTTAAATCACCAAAAAGCTTTACAGCTTAATCACTAGTTACATACTTGTATCAGTGTTGCAGGAAAGTGATGGGACCGAACCAGTCTTTCAGGAAAATATTTTATGCCCCCTGGGATTCTCCCAGTACAAGATACTGGGAAGAAGGAGTAAAACGTGGTAACCTCTTCGGTGTTTCTGACTCTTCATAAGACACAGAAGGGGCTGGGTTTGCTCTATCACTACATCACTAATTTCCTGGAGCACTACAGCCATCATAAAGCAGATAAAACCCCTGCCAGAGGCTGCCTGGCAGATGTCCTTACCACCCTCTTACAACCCTGTGGGGACAGGCTGAGAGAGTTGGGCTTGTTCGGCCTGGAGAAGAGAAGGCTCTGGGGAGACCTTATAGCACCTTCCAGTACCTGAAGGGGCTACAAGGAAGCTGGGGGGGACTTTTTACAAGGGCCTGTAGTGACAGGACAAGGGGTAATGGGTTTAAATTGAAAGTGAGGAGGTTTAGATTGGATATCAGGAAGAAGTTCTTCAGGGAGAGGGTGGTGAGGCACAGGAACAGGTTGCCCAGAGAAGCTGTGGATGCCCCATCCCTGGGAGTGTTCAAGGCCAGGCTGGATGAGGCTTTGAGCAGCCTGGTCTAGTGGAAGGTGTCCCTGCCCATGGCAGGGGGGTTGGAACTGGATGGTCTTTAAGGTCCCTTCCAACCCAAACCATTCTGTAATTCTATGATTGTACTCCTTTCCTCTCACTGCACTTTTTCTGACCAACTCTCCCACTTTTTGAGTGGCCTGACAGTGACAGGTATACAAGGAAAAGCCAGCAGCCAGCCTGGCTGCCTTTGCCATAGGCAGGTACCTGACACTGCACCTCCAGACCCTGCCCTCAGATACCTCTTGGTACCCTCTCACCATATCCCAAGGCACATGGCAAAGTCTCTCTGGCTGTAACACTTCAACTTGTTACAGCACAACACTCAGACATTTGGTTTAGGCATTTTGAACTAAAACAGAAGAAAAACAGTGATAGGAAAAATGTCAGACTGCACCGTGGGTGTCGTGGCTTAACCCCAGTCAACAACTAAGCACACAGCCACTCACTCACCTCCCC